AAAGGCTCTTTAGGGCAAAGTGTTTCAACTAACTTTGCAAACAATATTTATTTGGATTTCACTTTGACCTACATGTACAGTACAACATTGTCATCATTCTATTCTGTTTCTGTGCTGTAGGTAAAATCCATTGTCAAGCAAAAAAAGCAGACAACATATTACAGTTGGCATTTTGTGTTAAGTTTCTAATAATTGCAACTTATGGTGAATATTGCTTTCACCTGAGAAAAAGTTTGCTTTGAAACTTCCTGCCACAGCCATACTCCAATGTCGGACCCTTTTGCCTTGGGAAAAAAGCCGCTTTTTTCCCAAGAGCTCAGCATTGTACAAGATATATTTTTTGGGACAAAACATAGGTACACAATGCTATGCTCAGTTAATAAACATAGGATTAGCCTGTGTACTGTACTCTGGTTTGTTACTTTACAAGCACATACATGTACATCGTATAATTATGTCGCTGCAAATGCCATGGAAAGCTTTGCAAACCTGAACAAACTTGAACAACACACAAGTCTGACAAATGCACATATATCTACCACCAAAAATTACACTGCACTGTATTAATTTTAAAAAGAAGAGGAATTTGTGAAAGGGTCACTCTTTCACTATTTGCAGACATAGTATAAGTGCAACAGCTACAGTCTTCAAAACGAATCATTACATTTGATGTTAAGATTTATCATCTGTTCTCTCTTAATCATCATGTGTGGCTTACGGCAAACTGCCCGCGTGTACTAAAAGTAATATATATACAAAAATTAATCATCAGTTATTCAGTGCACATAGTTTAAAAAAAGGGAGGAGGGGAGCGTGCATGGAAATAATTTTCCTGGCCACAAAATTAATGCACTTTCTCTGAACAAATCAGCCAAGTAAATTCTCAAATCCACACCATTCTCTTTCAATATTCCATTTCAATTTGATCAGCTTTTTATACAGTCCTCAATTCTTTTTTTACCAATAATTTTTTTTTACAATACATGTATAAAACATTATTCCTATCAATCAGCAAGGCTAAAGCAAAGTTCGTTTCAATGTTTTGATAAAATTTAGTGGAAGGGAATAAAGTAGGAAGCTGTTCATGAAAGCCCTAGCACAAGCTATTAAGCTATCAGCTGCCCCTCGCAGCCAGTAGGAAATTACAAGAACGCGCCAATGGTGATACGCCACGATAAAAATTAAAAGTTTTATGTTAAAAAAACTTTTTCAGTATGCTCAAAAAATCAAATATGCAGGTTAAGAAATTAAGAAATGCACATCACCTAGCAAGATTAAGCTTATAAATGTTTTAAACCTCTTTTTGAGGTACAATATTGTTATGTAATTTACAAATGTAAGCTTAAATTGGTCGATATTGGGTAAAAGGGATATTTGGTTTGACAAATGAATGCTGTCATGTTGAAGTAATAGCATCAGGTTACAGCTCATTTGAAAGAAAGCTAAATCGGCCTTAAAAACTTTAAGAAATCTTCAGCTTATAAACATGTCCCACCAGAAATCACCAGCGATCGCAAGTAATCCGTGC